CTCATAAGTAGGTAACAGTCTACTCATAAGTAGGTAACAGTCTACTCATAAGTAGGTAACAGTCTACTCATAAGTAGGTAACAGTCTACTCATAAGTAGAAAACAGTCTGCTCATAATAATAAGTAGAAAACAGTTTGCTCATAAGTAGGTAACAGTCTACTCATAAGTAGAAAACAATCTACTCATAAGTAGGTAACAGTCTGCTCATAAGTAGAAAATAGTCTACTCATAAGTAGAAAACAGTCTACTCATAATAATAAGTAGAAAACAGTTTGCTCATAAGTAGGTAACAGTCTTCTCATAAGTAGAAAACAGTCTACTCATAAGTAGGTAACAGTCTGCTCATAAGTAGAAAACAGTCTGCTCATAAGTAGAAAACAGTCTGCTCATAAGTAGAAAATAGTCTACTCATAAGTAGAAAACGGTCTATTCATAATAATAAGTAGAAAACAGTTTGCTCATAAGTAGGTAACAGTCTTCTCATAAGTAGAAAACAGTTTGCTCAAGTTGCAAATATATTTATATATACATATTGGGTAAAGCTTTATTGATTTGGTCTATCTACATATATTCTCATTTATCTACAAAGTCCATAACAATAAATAACTATCAATGCTCTTAAGCGTCTATCAACTCACCCAACAAATAGTGAAATCGGTTACATTTCTAGTTTGCAAATAAAGAATGGTTACTACACTAACAATAAAGGTACTCGTACTACGTCAATCTATAAATATATCAAAGCTCATCACAAGAGGCGTGTCTCTTTTAGCTATAGTCCTCGAGCTTGCCATTCAGATAGTTCTCCGTTTCACTCTACGTGTATTGTGTACAAGCCGAGCGTTAAACGCACGGAGGCTAATTGGAGTCCAAGAATAATCATCGTCTTCTCCTAGACCTCCAATCAACTCCCATGGACGCTTGCGTGATCCATTAACTTCACCTAATACTGATTGCCACGGCAGAACTCGTTTTACACGTTCACCCCAAACTGGAGGAATAGTAAAGTCATGTTGCTACAAGGTAACATAATATTAGATGAATAAGTAATTACTCTACAAAAAAATAATTGGATTCAATCGAATAAACTATATATCACTAACCCTCAACTTGGCAATAGTGTGATTCCGGAATGACACTGGCATTTCTGAAATTACAATAATTAAGTATTACATTCCGTCAGTTACTACCAAAGACAACTTGCGTTTCGTTCAATGTTATACGTACCATCGTGAAGCATAGTAACAAGGTCTAAAATTAATCTAAACTTTGTTACCCCGGCTCCATTCTGGTGTATGCGCCTATCTCCGAGCAAATGAGTAAGAGCAATAATCCACCGTCCCAAAAGATCACTTTCTTTGATAGGATCGTTAGAAGAAAGAACTTGTTGTTTACATAGAGCCAGAGGTATCTTTATGACCAAGAGAAAGCATTTTATACGAGGCAGCAGACTAGAAACGAGTTACATAACGAGAAATTTAATCCGTTGGTTCATTTGTTCATGCTCATATTTATTCAGAAATTTGCTCAGCCTCACCTTCTCTCAAACGTGTCCTCGTTGCTATCGACCAGGACTTGCACTTGTTCTAATAAAACTTCGCAAAAATCGATTTTACGATTATCTTTCACAGAGAGCAACAAGGACCGGAATACTTCTTCGATTCCAGGGATCAGCTCGGTATGCGTTTTCATGACCAGCATTCCTTGTTCAAATAACTATATGTATGGTACAAGATGTTAAAGATATTTGGTAAACATCATAGCAGCAGTCCTTACCAAACTTAATTGCTTCTGCATTGAAATTCAGATAGATACTTTTAATAATTCTCTTACCTCTCTCGCAATGTCAGGCCGCACGTCTTTCACAATTGCGCTAACAGTATCGCAGTCAAGTCTACCTTGTAACACTAATTCTTTCCAGAAATATTCTGTTATACAGTCTTTGAGATTCGCTTCATCCACGTCCATTGGTACGGATGAATCGCCGTCTTTGTCAAGGTGATCTCCGGTGGAGTTAAGAACCATTATCTGGTCCATAACAAGGCTAAATTCTATACGGCGTTTCTCAAAGTTCCATGTATCAATTTGTGAAAACGCCGTTTTGAAATAGTTTATGAACGCGTTTGTTGAACGTGTATATGCATATCCGTCTGAAGAAATTACGCGTTTGGAAGATGTATAATTATTAGTTAAACCAAAGTTTGCTACCACCCGCGAATAGTCAATTTCTTACCAATTCCATCATGGCTTCCCAATGATAACTGTACAATATCAATCATCCTCGACTCAACCTTCCTCAATCTATATTTCTTCGATGCTTTGATAAATTTGTCGTGCACTCCAGACACATTCTCCGTACAGAGTCGTACAAACCACTCGGTGTTAGCGAGAGCCATTTGGAATTGTTCTATTTCGTTTGCTATTTTTGGATTTTGAGCGTGAACTAGGGTTTCTATTATGGCAAGGTTATGGAAAGTAACAGACAATGTATCAAGAATGCCCAGGCCAAATTCGGATTCCTTGCATTGCGTTTTCAGCGCTTGAATTTCCTGATTGTGGAAGGGATAAGACAAATATGATGATTAAAATTATTCGAGAATGTTCACGCATTTCGAGAGTATTGCAAACATACCATAATAGTCAATTGCAAATCTTTCCCATAGTCAAGGCCACCTTGAACAAGCAGTAAGCCCAACAACCGACACGAGTTTACACACTCGTTCAATTCTTCATTATCCACCTCCTCATGTTTTCTCATTTTCTCCGCTACGGGTGCTAAATATCGGTCACATACTTCATGCAATATACACTTGATAGAAACCAGTCTTTTTGACACCAAGGTCACTATAAACAGTAACAACCATGTCGGTGACTCTTCGCTCATCACTCGCTCATTCACTTTATCCACTTCATCCCAATCTGTCTTATCGACTCGATCTATTCGGTCAGTCTTACTGGTTTGGGAATGGTTACTAATCCATATTCGCATTACCCCATCTAAACCAAGCGGGGTCCGATCTCCAATTTCGCGCAGAATATCGCCAAAAATAATAATTACTCGACGAATCTCCAGGGGATCTTCGCAACTATTTTTGTACAAGTTAATAGCTCTGATGCAAGCATCAAGCATGACGTAGAGATAGCCTGTCGTTGATTCGGATTTTATCCACTTGCCGTTAATATTAGATGCTATTGAGATTCGAAATCCGTGGATTTTCATAAGAGTGGAATCAACCGGACCAAGATTTTTTCGGTGACGACCTATAGCTGTGAACAGAGGGTACTGAGTGGTTTGTCACAAAAGAAAGATAAGAGTGAGAATGGTTTATTGATAGTTTGAATTAAACGATAACATGAGTATTAAATATGTAATGAAAAGCACCTTGATTGGTGTTAGTAAATCTTTCTCGAGCTGTGCCTTCTTGTCCGCTGGTATATCGGTAAACTTGCGGAGATACTTCACAATGGATAATTCAACAGCATTTTTCTTACGCAATTGTTCGGTTTTGCCCAAAAGTACATCCACGATAGTGGCCATTTTGTTCATTGCTTCCCATATAACTTCATGTCGCTTTATTATATCCAGTATTATCAGAAACATGCTTTTTTCCATCGTGTGTTCTAATACCCATAAGGCAATCTTTACGATTGAAGCGAGTGCGACGTCAGTATAATTCGGTAAGAAATAACTAATTCCCATGCTATATAAATGTCAGATCGTATTATGTTTTGATACTCGCCTCTATCAAAGAGTTGTAGTCTTTTGTAAGCTCAAGAACTTCTACTATTATTGAAAACTGTCGAGAGCTGAGTAAAGACGACCCGGGGTCCGATAGATTCCGCCAATTCTCTTCGTCAATTCTATTTAAGCTCTGTAGTTAGTACGGCCATATTTAAAAAGATCAAATAAACGACAATCATACATACGTCACATTTAGGACAAAACCTTTTACGGCTGGTATCAACCAAGTTTTTGTTATATATAACTGTACAAATTTTGTTGCCTTTGATATTAACTCGATGCTGTCACGATCAAAGTTCAAAAATAAGTCAAAGTCCTTGGTTGGATCATCAAAGATAACCTCCTTAAGCTCATTATCTAACAGAATGGATATAATTCAGTATTCAATGCTTTAACATGAAATATTTTCAGTTATCATTCTTAATTAAATTTAAAACTCGGCACTTACTTTGATCTCCAAAAGAATGTGACAGCTTCTCTTTGATTATATCTTTGATTTTTTCTATTAACTCTGTATCTTGGACATTATCTACACAATCTAACATTCTTCGCCGCTGGCTTAGTTGATGTTGACTATTAGACTGCATGGGAAACCATCGAATGTAGCGTATATGACGAAGCGTTCTGTCGGTTTGTATTTTCATAGGCGTGAAATCTCCTCTTGATATTAGACGGTACATATATTGTAGATTACTGAAATGGCCATTAGTTTTACATCTTATTAGTTCTGCGAACAATCGAGAAACGGCTTCTATGTCTATATAGAATAAATATATTTAGTTGTCTTACGCTTGCAAAATGCCAAAGATATTATTATTATTACATAGCTTCTTAGCACGATCAAATACCTTCTTCTGCTCTACTACCAGTTTCAACTAGGGAATATTTATCCAAAAAGTCGAGTAGTGCATTCTGTAGGAATGCCTGCCGTCGGTTCTTCTCTGCACTATTCGCTGCATTATTCTTCCAAGTAGTCAGCACATTACTAACAATGTAGACTCTATGATCTCCACTTCTAAGATGAGTAACCGCCCAATAGCATAAAGTATATATGTGCCCGGATAATTCTTTCTCTAGATTTGACAGGTCAGTTGTCTTTGTCGAGAAATACTCGGCTACAAGAACTTGATAGTTTGGTGGCATTTTAACGTTATCGAGTACCTATATGATGAATATCATTCACGTCAGAAATATACAACTGACTATCAGTAGATTGGACGTACTTGCTTTTACCTTGGTTAATGTAGATGGTTCTGAATCAGCATCATCTTTTCTGAAACGTCCTGTTGTTAGTGCTCGTCTGTCATCAATAATCTCGTTTCTTTCGTTGATCTCTTCAAATATTTTCTGTAGTTTTGCTTTTATCTGTGCTGGAACTGGTGCTTTAGAATCATCTTCAACCAAAGCAGTTCGAATAAGCTCACGCAATTCTTCGCCAAACCATCGTCGTGGCAACACAAAAGTGTCTGGATCAGTCAAAAGAAGACCCTGATATCAAAATAGCGTTAGTAAGATGATAGGACAATATTCTTAATAAGAATATTTGCCTTGCAGGCAGACAATTACCTGCAACATGTTCTTAATCATAACGTATGGTAGATCGGGACTCGATATGTTATCTGGATTCCTACGAAGCTGCAATGTTCACATTACAATTAACATCAGACCGGTCTTATAGAGACTCGACTGTCCTTTTATATTACAAGTACTTCTTACCTTAGTTAACTGATTAAATAATGCCTTTAGTAGTAAACGCATCAAAGATATGCTGCGCTGATACTCGAACAAAAATGTCTGAACAAGAAATAGCCAAATGGCCAACCGCCATTCATCATCACCTTCGTTGGTTAAATAGATCAGCGTGTCTCTTAGAAATCTCTGCCCTAGAAGTCCATCATCATACATGTATTTCGTTAATCGTACACTGCATTAACGCGAGACGAGATTAGACAATGTTGCAACAATTAGAACGAAAGTTATTTAGAGCATCTCGGAAAAATAACCTGTAGTCCCATTTAGCGGCATCAAAATAATCAAGCTGACCAAGCAGGAATTGGTATGTGTTGCGATCCCATAAGCCATCAAAGCTTAAGCTTTTGTTCTGCGATGCGTAAACTTACAATAATCAATACGATTTTATAATTATAGAAAATGATATAACAATAGGATCGTTTACCTCGACTTCCATATACTTGGTAAGTACTTTTATTGCCCAAATAGTCCTCACATATGGAACTTGAATCTCAGATGCAATTCTCAACAGATGCATCCAATCAAGACTGTCAAAATTACAAGTTAATCATAATGTCTGATAGATTACGTGAAATATCATGCAATTTCACTATCACTACTTACGAGCCGGGAAAAATCTGAACCAAGTTTTTTAATGGAACATCCGAAGCCAGCATATCAAACCACTTGTCCTTATCCGATATATGACGGCGAGGCGGTAACTCGATATTATGCGTGCTGTTATTAATCGAATCATTAAAATATCAATTATGACTAATTCATATCCGATATGTTCACAAAACTCGTCTTTCCCGCTGCAATTACCTGTCAAGCATTTCGACACCCATCCGCTGGTTCCGTATTATCTCGAGAAACGATGTCTCCACCGATGCCAATATATTGGGAGTTGCCAGGTCACTGGCAAAGAACTCATAAGCAGACCCATTCTCATCGTCGACGAACAACGGCTCGGAGAAACCGGTTCGGACATTGTGGTCCGTCATTTGTTCTTCTATTTGACCCGTTCTAGGAGGAGTAAATTCCGGGTGGCCTATGTAATAGGAAATATAACCGAGTGTGAGGGACTCAATAATCCACATCATTCTACTTTTATTTAACTTTCGTGTCGATGCAAAATATAGTGCATTATTCATATTTTACACTAGACAACATAAACCATTTCTACGACATACCTAACTCCTCCCTTGCACGATGAAGTCGTGCCAAATTGGGTGGGGGGGCCACTTGAAATTTCTTCATATTATGAATAGTTTACGAAGACTTTCATTACATTCTCCGACTTTGAAGAATAAGTAAGTCACGTGATATATTGTACAAGCGTGGAGAAAATTCCATATTAATTGAGTGCAGTGATACCCTGCATTGTTACCAACAAGTATAATGGTAATTGAAAGTTTGTGTGCACCTCTGGGCTGTCATCCTTTTGATATTTCTTATTCACGGGTGATTTAAAGCCATACAACAGCTGTGGACTTTGATAAGAGTCTATTCTCTTATCCCAGTATGGAAAGATCACAAGTGTTAAAAGTTATTTTCCTCGACGTTAACATTAAACGTAACGCCACACTTGTCTTACCCCCATTTTCTTTCATTAATCGGGTGCTAGTACTAGTCTTAATACTAAGATTAGTGTGGGTAACACACATAAACATTGTTTTTGAACGAACTAATTCAACTTTTTTTTACACCAAAAAACAATTGTGTTTAATCAATAAACTTAAACTCGGAAAATCAATTCCATTATTCTTATATATCTACCACTATCAAGAATTATTTCTGAGACCTGTACGCAAGTTGTTACTACAGGTTTCAAGTAAAGACAGATTCAACTTTTATGTGAAGTGGGATGGCGGATGGCGAAACGTCTCTTTTATGACGTATGTCGTTGATTTAATAATTACGCTAGTCTCGCAACTCTTATCATAGATATTGATTTGTGGCTAGACTATGCTGTACTTCCAAAAAAATTTTCGTAAAAGATATGTCGTCCAACGTTGCAAAGGTCCTCCACTGTTATTCCTCCACCCGACAAGAACTTAATGGATTTTTGAAAGGGAGGTTAAACATATTGATAATCACATAGACTCCTTAACAGCTCAAGAACTCGATGGCGTAACCTTTCTTGCACTAAAACATGAAATACTCGTAAGTCCACCTTTGAGTAATATTATTACCAGTCGGACCAGCTGTAAAATTAGTAAAATTGATCAAAGAAATTCAAGGACAGTAATAGATTTGGTCAACACGCACGAATGATCATGTATTTACTTGCTTCTAGCTTGAGTCTCTTTGGCCAATTGGTAATTTAATGATTTTTCTCGGACGTTCGAGTTTTATGTGCCTCGGCTTTTATTAATATTAATCCAACAAGACTGTCCAGCAATTAGCACCCTTGGTATTGGACTCTACATCCATGTCCATAGCATCATTCAACATCACAATGCACACAACCCCCAACAAAAGGAAAAGAGGGCAATAGCAAGATAGAGAGTGCAAAACACAAGAAGAGCAGTGCAAAACGTGCTCAAGTTCCCTGCCTATCTACTGCAATTATTTATAATAATCCAGTAATAATAAAATAAATACATGATAATGTCCTAAAGTACGACATATTATTATATTGTAAGCCGTTCCGAAAATGTTGGCACGTGTCACATAAATCCGTTCTTGGACTCATAATTTGAATATAAGGCGTTAATTGGTGCCATAACTTGCGGGATGCATCATATTTTAAAAATTTCAATTTTCAAGACCTGTTTCGGCTGGCAAAAGTGTAAGCGGTTGAGTAATACGATTAACATTTCTACCGGGACCTAGAATAAATGTTTTAAAAAAGAGATTTGTAAGCATATGTAAGAATTGTTTCACATAACTCTGGTTTAACTCAATGCCTATTCGTTTGCATTGTCTTCAATGACTTGTGGATCAATGATCAAGGCGTATTCGCCTGCAAATTCATTGTATAAAGCACGTACTTGGTCGAGTGTGAAATTTTAGTTCTGGAATGGCGTCCTCACATTAAATGGTGATGTACGTGGGGAGGCTGAAAAGTTTTGCGTGTGGCCCCCTAACTCGAGATTGCGTCAATTTAACTAAAAATTGGAATAATCATAAAATGCGCATGCTTTCACGTAACAAATGAAAAAAAAAAAAAAGTAGAGACAAATTTATTATCTCATTGTCGAGAAACTTTTTTTTTGTAACCATAGTAAACCGACTGGAAAAAAAATGGGCCGTAAAAACCGATACTTTATTTTCGCTTCATGGAAAAGCAGAAATGTGACTCAAATCCACGAAGAGTTGGTGAATGTAAAGGGGGAACAAGCATAGTACTATTAGCACAATTAGACGCTGGATTGCTACATTCAAAGACGGGGGAAAAGAAATTAAAGACATGGCTCGTTCTGGACGTCCTCGCGAAGCAGGAGCGTCAGAAAAAATTGCCGAGGTCTAGCAATAACCCGCACATTTCTATTAAAAATGCAATAACCCGCACATTTCTATTAAAAATTAGCCAACGAAATCGGCTTTTCTCGTGAAAGAATTTCCTACATTTTTGCATAATGAGCTGAGCCTTCAGAAAAGGGAAGAACAACCGTTTGTGACGTCATGCTTTATCCATAAGGCAACAATCATATCAGAATATCTTCATAAAGAACGAGTGGTACTTTTCCCCCACTTGCCGTATACAGTCATCCCCCCCCTATCGCTATAAGCACACTCCTATATAGTCACAACTTCCTTATAGTCACACTTTTCTTGGAACCAACTGATTTCATAGTAAATTTACTCCTATATATGCACATTCTGCTTATTATTATATTCACTATCACACTGTTTGTGAGACGAATTTCAAGTAAAATTCCTCCCTTTAGTCACATTAGCATGTTAGTACAACATTACTGTCCACTGATTTTGCGTGGAAGATTATATAAAGGCCATTGACAAACCATTAGCAACTGAAAACAATCTGACTGAGGCTGATATAGTATCTATGGTTAAGGTTGATGCTATGGTAGAATCTGAGACTGTACTCACAGATACTGATTATCATTAAGGGAATGAAGTTGTAGTAAAACTGATGTCTAATATAGAAGCCACCTGAAAGGTCTTATTTTGTTCCAAGAGCAATCTCCCGACGAAGTATTTACTTCAGATGAGCTGAATGTTCTGCGTCGCAAGATATCTACTTTTGAATATTTGATCATTGCTAGATTGTTATTTGGAGAAATAATCACTGTATACTGATACGTGAATATAATAATAAATTATCGTTATATATAAACTTTGTGACACTCTATGAAAGTTATGTCATAATAAATACTGTGACCCTCCTATGTAGCCACACTCCCTATAGTCAGATTTAGCATGAACCGATAGTGTGACTATAAGGAGGGGATGACTGTAGTTCAGACCGTGCTCCTTGTGATTTGGTAAGGTCGAAAATTTAGCAAGGGCTGTTCAGGCAGTTGCTGAAACCATCCCAAAAGCCGACTATGAGAAGTCTCTCCAGAGTTAGCAGAATCGTCTGCAACGTTGCATAGATGTTAATGGAGAGTACTTTGAGGGAATGAAATAGTTGTATCTATAATTATTATGAAATTTCTGGAAATAAAGGTCCGCGCAAAACTTTTCAGCCTCCCCACGTATATCGAGAGTGACTATATCGAGGTGCGACTGTATATGTTCAAGACAAAGCATTCCTTTTGTTACTGACTGAAAAAGACATCGAACTAAAAATGTTTGATGTGGCTGTAAATTGTCTAATTATTAACATCAATAGCTGCGAAAAAAGTTTTCGGAATAACGTTTTTATTAACTGTGCAACGAAAACTGGTCAAAAAACATTAAACTTTACAGATATGCTCCTCATCACACAACAAAACGTTTTATTTATTGCTACTTAATAGTAATAGCTTATTTTATTACCATTCCTCTCAATTATTTCATTCAATCTTGATAGCATGCTATGAGCCAAATTAACATATGTTTATCAGCAACGGTATTGCAAATTGTGGAGATTGTAAGACGTTGTTTTTTTCATTGTTATGATATCAGCCCGATATTTCATTATCGTATAAATCACACGTTGCGTTCGTCGACGTCCAAAACGTTTGTCGCCGTCGAAACGTTGTTGACGTCAGTAATGTGTGTCACCGCCAAACATGTTCGTCGACGTTTGTTGACGTCAAACATGTTCTTAGACGGCAATAATATTCGTTGTTCATAATAAGGCTGCTATATTATTATGCTTCAATTTCACTTGAAAGTATTTAATAAAATCTCCGTGTATGATATTAAATCAGACACCAGCCAAGAAGTCAAGGTTTTATATTTATAGGATCAGTTGCATTTGCACAATCTTATGATTGCATATTCATGTTGATATTAATCGGGGTATAGATAACTTGCTATAGCAACAAAATTATATGTCGCAAGAAGTAATATACCCGCAAACCAATTAGATCTACCATTCTGTCGAGAAAGAATATTATTGTGATATTTGTTGTAAATAACCAAATAAATAAATAATCAATTGATACACTCACCTGAATTAAGTAATTCAGAAGCAACACTGAAATAAACAAAACTATTGTTTCAAACATTTCGAACAATAAAGTCATCGGCTGATCAATAATCCAGCCAAGCACAACCAAGGATGGAGTAAAAAACAAAGCAGTTTGCAGTGAGCGTGCTGCAACAGTAAATATAACCGACTGCATCTTATTCTTCATCGCAACTTTAGCAGTCATCGCAGCTTCTGCAGGCCTACCAACTAGGGGAAATAGTATCAGACCAACAAATGTCTTGGTGAGCCGTAGAGGTTCGAGGTTTCTACTTATTGAGGATACAAGAAATTCACCACAAAAGCCGACTATGACGGTAGTCACAGCCAGGGTGACGGCAGAAACAATAAGGGTGAGTTCAGGTTCTTCGTCCTCTTCGTCCTCGGTAATATACAATTCAGGATGAGTTTTAAACTACGGTAAACAATTTCGATTGTATGGAGGGAGTTAATAGCACATCCAATTAAGAGTTTTATTGCCAACTCAATAGTTGCCCTAAAATTTAATATTCCTACCGGGAATAGCAAACATAATCCATAGACGATCAATAAGATTATTGCTGTGTAGTGACTCAGCTTCACTACTTCGTAATCTTTTCCCCCTGGAATGGAAATATTGAACGCTGCAGGAACAACCAATGCAATACACGCCACTGCCATCAAGCTAGCAGTTGTTTGCGCTGCTGTTTCGTTGAATTCCTGCACTTGATACTTTATACCACCAACAAGAAAACTGCTTCCAATGACAAGAAGCAGATTCGATATAAGATTGCCCATCACGGATGCTTGAACGACTCGGACTTGTCCTTGTTTAAGAGCAATAATCGCAAGAACAAATTCAGGTAAGTTGCCAAATGTTGCATCCAGGAGAGCACCCGTAGTCTATTATTAAGAAACTGATAGTTTAGAACATTCTCATCAGGTTCATATCTGATGAAAGTAAACTATACCTGTCCAGTACGACGAGAGATGTCTTCTATGACAATTTCAAATAATTTTGCAAGCGGAATTATAGCGAAGAAGTTCAGCAGAAAAATCGCAGTATCATTAAATTTCAAAAAGTGGGCCACAAAGCCTAATGGAATAAATATTAATAACACATTGAACCACGACGCTTTTATTATTCTTAACAAAGACAACGTGTGCGTGGGTTCATGGATAAGCGGACTATTCTCCTCTCCATCGACGTTTTTGCAAGCGTGCGAAGACATATATCATCTATATCCTTGATGGACTTCATGTTAGGACTTAACTGTGATACAAGCATCGATGTCGCATCGATGTCGCATCGTTGCGGTAGTACGGATAAAGAAAAGTAATTTGGCAGCTCCATCGCTGTATACAGCTTAGATGATTAGTAATAGCAGCTAAAAATAGACCAATTGGTCCACTCGAAAGATACGTATATAGATTTCAGTTAGATAGAGGGTCAGTGCATGTTTAGGATGTTCTAATTACTTTCGATTCCTATGTTGTAAATAAACGAGTAGTTCTTTATACATTGTTAATGATGCATTCCCTGGTAAACCTATCGGTATATCCGAGAAACCGCTAATCCCTATATCGATGAAGAATAATCGCCTCTTGTCCCGCGATTATTCGGGTTGCAAATTACGATAATTAATGCGCATTATTATAATTGAAATACTATTGTACCCAACGGTAGACTAAGAATTAATCCCAACTTAGGAGCCAACAGAATTACTCGAGTATCCAGGATTAGCGTCACTCTACGGCGGGAATTTCGTAAGTGCAAAGCGTTGATTGGACAAGTTAGTCATGTAGACTAACTCTATATGGCTAGTGAGCCGTCAAGAAGTAAATACCCAAGTTCTTTCATTACATTACAACCGTTGATCGAGCGGTGTTGTTGTTTTTGTTGTTGTTGTTGTTGTTGTTGTTGTTGTTGTTAGATATAATCGTATTATTAAGAACCTTGTTGGGATTTCGTTCGCACGACGAATGGCGCTATAACTCGAATAATTCAGCAGCTAGAGATTACCAGACTGAATATCTACCATTAGTGAAGACATTAGAGATTATAGTGAACTGCCAGTTGAATATTTCCAATCGTAAGTTTATTGACTATTTTCTATCGTATTTATTTGATCCTATAGTATTGTTCCGCCGTAAGAGTTATTCCCCATTATTCCGTTGGAGCCTTCGACCAAGGAATTTCGGTTGTTTAATTGCTACTGCGGAATAGCTATTTTAAAATCTAAATGGTCGATAACTATTGTTAAAATATTGATTCACGCATGTCACTAAATATACGTCAGATTTTTACATGTTAGTTAAAACCCGTTATAAGAAACCTTTGGATAAAAGAATTGAGCATATAAGAACCAGTTCTATATTAATTCCGTTTGTATAAGAAGTTTATATAGTAAATCTCGATATTATGTATAAGAAAGGTTTCCAATAACCAAATATATCGCATGCCTGATATAAAAGTTACATTTGATATAAGAGCGAGCCAATGATAACAAAATTTATATTCCTGAAGGAATTTTTGCAATCCTGTAACGCATCGAATAAAGACCTGAACCAAAGGGGATCCGTTCATTTCTCCGACAATTATTTCCCGAAAAATATTCCGACACTAGTCGTTAATGTTTGTCAAAACGTCTAAATTTGCCCACCAGAGTTATTTTACCTAGCACAAAAAAGATAACTTCGAAATAATTGATTGTGGGAAAGTGATTGTCGGGGAAATGAACTGTCGGGGAAGTGAGCTGTCGGGGAAGTGATTGTCGGGAAAATGAACCAGACCCAAGCAAAGAGATACGAAAAAATGAAGTTTGTAAAAAAACAAGAAGAACGTTAACATGGAACCAGAAAGTCGAGTGAAACAACAAAATATGCAATTTACCGTCAATGATTCAGACTCTTACGGGGGTGCCACTCTGGAGGACTATTCCCAAGACATTCAGTAGCATAATCATATTATCCAAATGACTAAAGTTTTGTGCATATGTATTACAAATAATGTCTTTTTAGTTAAAAGAACCTTTTTTTGTTAATATTATAGAACTTTCTTATATCGCAAAGTTCGCTAAAAAGATTGCTCGTTTTTTTGGTCCGACTCAACGCGTTTTACTTGTATACTAATTACATGTTTTATGTAATACATTAAATTTGCCGTATAACAATACTCTTAGTATAATAACAGGAGTAGTCACACGCGCTGATTATAGCATAGAAAATGACAACTCGATTAGATATATGAGAAGAGCAACTTTCCGCTAGATTTCATCATGTTCGATTTGACCTTTTAGTTCTTATAATAATATATTTTTTCTAATAAACGGGTAGTGCTAATACATATTCGACTTTTATTTCCTTGGTAATTATTCGATATAGTTATAAACCACTAAATCCAATATCGATTAGGAATATTCGCCTCTTGACACTACGATTGTTCTTCGTCCGAGTACAGTCTAATCTGGTTATAACGAACTTTGGCTATAACGAATACCTGTTTATAATAAAGATTATCTCCAAACCAGTCATCAAATAATTATGACATTTGCTATAAAAAGAGACCTTGGTTATAAGGAATTTCTAGTTATAAGAAAGATTTTTTCCAGTCCCGTGGAATTCGTTATAACCGGATTAGACTGTATAAACGCGTTTTAGACAGCTGTAATTATACTCCAACACTATAGCTTCCGAAATAAACTCATTGGAAAATAATAGTCGATTTACTGAGGAGGGCGAACCGTCTAGGACTAGTTTCTACCAATCGACACTTGGTTATGAGCAGTAAAGCCTGTTTGAAGGTCACTAATGGTCGCTTGTATTTAACTAAGAGTAGAGAAATCACAGCTTCGTTCGAAAATAGCCAAATCCGAAGGCAAACAATTAATTGTTCTCCTGCAATTATTGGCTCGACACCAAAGAGTTTAACAACACATATAAGTGTGAGTTTGACTACTAAATTTTTGAGAGTACCTTTTAGTATTAGTCAAATTTAGAACACCAAACACTCTCCCACGCGACCAAACATAATGTAGTATGAACATAATAATAACTGATACATCTTTATTATTATGAAATTGTTTAACAAACTTGCTATTTAATATCAATACAGATAAATTAATTTTCCAAGATTATTCTTCTTAGCATAAAAAATTTCATAACTTGTATTTGACAAATGCAATTTATTATCCAATTTACAGTTTCTGTAATAACAATTTGTATCAAATGCTCTGTACTAAACATTCTTCTTACCACTTTTATACAACTCAATCTTCTCCCTTATTTTTTTTCTTCACTTCTAACCCATCTTTATAAAAAGTATACACCTTATTTTGTGCTTTACTGTATCCTTGTTCAGCTGCTTTTTCATAAAATTCAAGTCTTCTACTCCAATTCCATTTTCATAATACAAGCCAAGAATATATTGTGCATAAACATTTCCTTCTTTAGCTCTTGATTGGCAGAAGTCAGTTACCAAACTAATGTCAAATTTTGATACAGACATTTTACTATAATGTCTACTGTTTTCAACTTGTATTGACATATGTGCTTGTTTCACTGCACTCTGGTATAACACAGCTGCTTTTTGTTTATCTTTTTCTACTCCAGTTCCATTATCATAACATAAAGCAAGGTTAAATTGTGCACTGGCATATCCTTGTTCAGCTGCTTTTTGTTCAACTCCAGTTCCAGCTGTTGAATCAATGTGTACAAGCATTGTTATTTTTTATTTTAGCTGGATCAAAGAGGTGTTCCAAGAAAGGATAATTCGAAAGGTATCTAATGGTTTCATTCTGATTATCCATTTTGCGAATGGGAATATAGCAGTCGCGAGCAGTATGAACGTGAGATTTGCGCAAAGTCATCGTTAGTAAGATGACTCAGATTCTACGTAGTGATGCCAATATGAATGCTACTGTTGGAGGATTCATGTAACGAAGAAGACATAGTATAATTTGTATCGAAGACCGTTCGTTGCGTTCAAGGAGAAAAGACATCGATAACATAAAACGTTTTAATCGATTTTTTTTTCTTTGACAATAAGGAGAAGATTATTTTATTTTAAATTTTTTATGTGTATTATACAGTATGATCACAATATATCTAGATTAGTAAGAAACCTGTTGCGCGAGCTATAAGCAATTATCTCGACCAAAATGACAGTACGTACTCCATATAGCCTCCAGCAAACTTGTTATACAGTCATCCCTCGTTTATAACCCCCCCTATTGTAACCCACCCTCGGATATATCCCAGCTTTGGGGCTGGACCGA